AATAAGCATATTCCTTAGGAGATAAGGATTACAACAATAAAGGGGATGATTATCCTAATCCTATAATGATTAGGATAACTACAACATATGGATAAATACAAGGGAGGATAGTGACTGATGCTTGGCCGCCTGGTATGGTACTGATGTGGTCTGGTCCATTTCCGGATATGTCCCAACCACCATCTTCATTTCTTAACATCAACAATTTATTACAATATTACGCGTCTGTCGTCTCATTTTTTTTCGTTTTCCTTTTGATTTATTGTGGTTTTATTTGAACGTGGGCCTACCAATATAGTGATTATGTCATAATGCGCATCAAAGCTAACTAAAAATAATGTATTTATATGAGCATAGTATATTCTACAACTTAAAACTGACGTATCAAAAGTTAATTATTTATGTCATCTCGGATTTGAATTTTTCTATCCTAGCCATGGTTTTATAACTCAGCTGAATTGATCTTTAGTCGGTCTGGGTTATATCTTAGCTTAGAGCCTTTAGAACTGAAAACCATTTTATTACAGAAAACAAGTAGTATTGAATAGATGTAAGAGCATTGGCATCAGTAAACTTTTCAACATTAAATCTACTCATATAATAACAGAATTAAAGTAAGAATTGAATTCTCGATTAAATCTTAGATCATGATTAATCTGAAGTTTTTAGGGTGGAATTCTTATCGAAAGTTAAAAAATTGTTTCTTAATTTTTAACTAAAAAAATTAAGAACCGATTTTTAAAGTCCTTATTTTAGAACTAATTTTTATTTTTAGTTAAAAATTAAAAAATCAATTTTTAGATCACTAGAAATAAAACATATGTCAAGAGAGTTTCTAATATTTTTTTCTAAATAACATTTCATATCTTAATTAAAAAAAAACACATTTCACATCTCTTTTCTTTCTCTCCTATGTTTTTATTATTTTAATGTCAAAAGCTTGTTTAGATACTTAGAGCATGATTATTAGTTACAAACCATGCTAGTTTCTGAAAGTAAAAAAGAAAATAATATTATATTTTTGTCTTTATTTTTTTAACAAAAAATCAATTGAAATACTATGAACTTCTGTTTTTGGAGGTTGAGAAGTCATGCTGAAAAGTTCTGCAGTGAAACTTTTTTTCCATTCTCTTTCCTATTTTAGTTATTTTTCTGTTTCTTAAATTATGAGAACTCTTTCTATATATCCTCAATGGAACTGCTCTTAAAACACCAGCACTGATTAAAATTTTATGAGTCTCTCCCAAACATATTAATGACATATAATTATATTGTAATTAAGTTTTATCTGTAAAAAGTTAAATTAAAAAACAGAATGACACTTGTAGAAAAAAATTATCAACTTTGTACCAGAGTTGCGGAGGGACGTTTAGACCATCCGCAGTGGTGATCCTTAAGAGGAAATTCTTAGAAAAAATAATAATTAAATAAACATTGGATCCCACCAAAAGCTAAGGATTATGTCCATAAAATCCTTATATAAAGATTCTTTCTTAGTGAATCCTTACATGTGGCAGTCCACGATTCGTTGCTATTTTTTTATTTTTTAATTTAAAAAAAGAAAAATAAATAATAATTAAAAAATAAAAAAAACATTATGTTATTGTATTTGTTTAACCTTCCATCTCTCTCTTATATCTAGTTCTTTAACCTTCCATCTCTCTCTTATATTATTGTATTTGTTTCATTATTTAATTATGTAGAGATTCTTTCAAATAATGGCCTAGACCACCAAAACATTATGTTTTGTGACAATTTTCACAATAGAAATTGATATAGATTTGTTATAATTGTACTTTTTTGTACTACTTCAAATGTATTCCAAGTAATATAAACATATCTATTTTCTCCAGGTGTATGAAGTCACTATTTATTAGAATTATTTACTTTTCTAAAATGTTTTGTCGGTTAGAGTACAGATCCACTGATCACATGCATGCATGGCCAAATTTCTCGCCTTAAGAAGCTTTAGAATTGAAAGACTAATGTCACACGCCACTGAATTACAATGTCGCATACCAATGTATTTTACAACTGGAGATATCTCAATAATGTTCTAACCCTAAACCACGGTGTTTATCCGCCTAACGGTACGAATACAATCAAAGTGAAACATTTGAAAATTATTTATACTAAAACGTAAAGAAGAAATATTTTAACAATTTTCTGAATTAAAAAATATTTTAACAATGTTAGTAGAAATATTGTTTTAACAATTTTCGGAAATGTTTTAAAATGTATATTATATTTTAAAAAGCTAAATTGACTTTTGGACTCACGCTTTAGTTACAATTTAAATTAATATTAGATAAAAGGCTTTTAGTTTTTCTATTCAAAACGCTTTATTATATGAACCAAAAGAAATAGTTTTGAGAATCGCCAATTTTGCAGTTTTGTATATATATATAGAGAGACAGATTTTTTTTCCTTTTATTATATATAGATTTTTTTAAGTGCTGGGGTTTCTGAGTGCTTTTCTTTTTATGAGTTTCTACGTGGTTATCTTCTGTTTTCTTCTCAACCAGCTGTAACCATTTTTGTCCAATGAAGTATCTACAGTTTCATAAAAAGTCACAACCGTTCTTCATCACTACTTCTGCTACCAATCCAATGCATCTGCTGTTTTCAACAACAAATTTAGAAAAGTAATAGCACCCAGGGATACAAGACAACAAAAATCAATAAATATATTTGGCAGTGCAACGTGAACCAAAAAAATTGCACTTAAACTCTCTTTTATTACCTGGATAATATTATTTATTGAGCTCTATATTGTCTGTCTCAAACACTCAAACCCGCATATTTATGAATTTGAACCGCTATTTAAACCGTGTCTCCGTATGATTACCTTCCCACCTTTAAAACAAGACACGCATGATTACTTTCCCACCTCTAAAACAATCAGTACTTCTACACTTTATACGAAAAATGAAATATCTATAATGTTGCAGTATCACAATCACATCTACTAATCTCTGATACGCATTTATTTCAAATCTTTGAGTGACCTTTACGAGAGATTCCAGCCCATTTTGACAAAACTTCTTTTATTCACCACTTAAATTAACATTCACATCACACTTTTTAATCGCTTACGTCGTGTTTATATTACTATCCTTTTATGATTTTTCCAGGGACATTAAACACATAAAAAAATGAAATAAAATTAATTAACAGAGTATATCGAAGACCAAGAAGCAGTTGCATGGACCCGGATTGATTCATTACAGCTAGAACTTTGTCTGAGTCCTTCTTTCTATTTATACCAAACTTTCTTCTCCCTCAACTTCATCACACCAAACTTTCTTACTTTCTCCACATTTACAAATATACTCATTTGCTTTTTTCCCTTTGCATGTTGTAATTTGGTTTGCTTCATCATGGGTGTTTTAGTAATCTCGGCTCTCCTGTTGCATATCCTAGCGTTTTCCACATGTGCTCAAGGCTTCTACCGTCGGGGCGGTCACCATCCTGGCGGCCACATGGGACCGTGGATCAACGCTCACGCCACTTTCTACGGCGGTGGTGATGCTTCCGGCACTATGGGTACCTTATTGATCTCCAATAAAAACAAGCCTTTGATTTCTCACTTTCACTTGCATCACTCTAGTTTTGAACTGACAAACGGGTAGTGTAGACTTAGACAATTTATCATCATCTCATTTTTTCAGAGTTAGCTAGTTTAACTTACTAACATGCAAACAATTTCAACGGCAAGCCATGAAAATATTTTTAAAATACTAGATTATACAAACAGAGGATGAATAAATAGACTCTATGACGTCATATGTTGTTAAAAACATTGTTCCATACGCCAATTTTCTCATTTTCTTTATATATATGTTATAAATTAACAAATTAATTTTATTTGAAAAGTAAAATTGTGAGTTTATTTGAAAAAACAAGATATAAACACAAAGACAAGACAAGACAAAGACAATTTAACATTTACACCAAAAGAATAAACACAACGACAAAAAGAAAAGAAAAACCAAGGCCTAGTTTTTGATGGTGGACTATAAACATTTGGCTAATGAACAAAATTATTTAGGTGGAGCATGCGGGTACGGGAATCTGTACAGCCAAGGTTACGGAACAGAGACGGCGGCATTGAGCACGGCTTTATTTGATAACGGACTTAGCTGTGGTGCCTGTTTCGAGCTGAAGTGTGTCAACGATCCTCAGTGGTGCATACAAGGCAGGTCCATCGTGGTCACTGCCACTAACTTTTGTCCTCCTGGTGGCGCTTGCGATCCTCCCAACCACCATTTTGATCTTTCTCAGCCCATCTACGAGCATATCGCTCTCTACAAGTCCGGTATCATTCCGGTTATGTACAGAAGGTACTAATTTATTAACCCGGTTTATAGACCCTTTCATTAAATGTCAAGAAAGTTGCATAAGACTGCACTATTAAGTGTAGTTTGTGAAATATACTTTTTTGTAAATATTACTTGTTTTTATGATTTATTAATGTCCGACTAGGAAATTTTACTAGATCAAAAGATAAATTTACTTTGAAAGGTATCAAATAACTAAGAGAACAAGATTAAAGCTGTACTTATTTAGAAACAAATGCATGGACTAAACATACACATGTGTATGACTTTTCTGTTAACTCTTAGCTTGTTAACTCTCTTCTGTTTTTTTTTGTTAAACTAGGATTTTTCTCTTTTATATTTGAACAAAAGTCTTTTTGTTTTTTAATAGAGACTAGTAGGAAAAGTAAGAGCCATGGAACCCTGTATTCGTAAATATAAATAAATTGGTTAGAACCAGTATGTACATAACAAACATATGTTGAAAACACACAAGACACGTATCTGCGTAATTCATCTTATACTATACCACTTAATGGAATTTAAACCTATTAATATGCATTTACTACTTATGGACCAGTAGATAAATATCGTAGAAATTGGTTACTAAATAATTAATAGTATCTCGGTATCACTAAAAAATGAACACCAAACTTGTGGTACCTTTTCTGGAGAGCTATTTAAACTTTGATAATAGTATTAATTTAATATAATCATTTTTTTCATGAATATATAGGGTTCGGTGCAATAGAAGAGGCGGGATAAGGTTCACGATCAACGGTCACTCATACTTTAACTTGGTGCTGGTCACAAACGTGGGTGGAGCAGGGGACGTACACTCTGTGTCGATGAGAGGGTCAAGGTCACGATGGCAGCTAATGTCAAGAAACTGGGGACAAAATTGGCAAAGCAACTCTTATCTCAATGGTCAAAGTCTGTCGTTTGTTGTCACCACAAGTGATCGCAGAAGTGTCGTGTCGTACAATGTTGCTCCTCCTAGTTGGTCCTTTGGCCAGACATACATCGGAGGGCAGTTTCGGTACTAACTAGTTCTATAAATAATATAATTAAGTGATATATATTGTTAGACCGGTTTGGTTTGCTTCGGTTATTGCAATTGCTGCTTCTTTTACTGTAATTTCCGGTTTCCAAGTTGGGGACTTTTTTTTGGGTAACCAATTGAAATTTGGACTGGTAGTTTATATGTTACCGAAATGTGTGTGAACGAGTGAAAGAAAGAGATAATCCTCTTTTTTTATAATAAGAAAAATATAAGTGATATAAATAAAAATGAAAGTGAAATTAAAGTGTTATTGGCTTTAAGTGTTAAAAGGTTGGAAGACACTAACAAGACATCCTTGGAAATGTTAGAATAGGATTTGATTATATAAAAAAATGGTTCAGGATGTATATGTATTTCGTTGTGATCCATTTACTATTATCAAAATGCTTACTCGAAATAGCCTATATAACAATTCAAGATTCATGTCCATATTGTCTCTGCAATTTTGCGGATTAGTTAAGCGTCAAATACGAAGCAAAACTAAAACGTTTGACGGATTCAAGCTTGGCTTGATTTTACTGGGACTAATTAAAACCTTAAAGTATGAGAGTAGTAATTTTTTTTTTGGTTATTCCTTGAATAATGCGTAGAACATACATATGCATACACACGTACGTTATCTTTGATTTGCATTGCATCTAAAAATGGATATTCATGCATATGTCATCGTATGTAATATTGCATCTCTATGAGACATGGTTATAGGAGAGAGACCAAGAGAAGACTTTGATGGATTTGCTAAGCTTTTCAATGGAAGAACAGACAATGCCTTAGAGAACCACTGGCATGTTCTACACACGAACTCTGTGTGATCTCTTTCCTACAATACACCAAAACAATTGGAATATCTACTAATAATAGGAATCCCAATTAATTCCAAAGGTTGTGACTTCCTTTTAAGTTGAAAGGTTGTGTTTTTATTTTATTTTATTTTTAATTTATTTCCAAACAATGTGTCCATTCAAAAAATAACAATCTATACTATTAAAGCTGAAGTACAAAAAATTAGTGTTTGGAAACATGAATAGGTATTTAAAATTATAATGATTGGAAACAAGGATAGCCTACAAATCTAATGGGCTTATTTATTAAACTAAAGATTACTGCGGCCCAAAGTATTATTATTATTGTTTTTGGGTTTCTATCATTGATATTACTTTATTTCTGAAAATTATTTATACATATATGTATTCATGTTTTAAATGTATTTAAAATAAATCAAGAATCATATATATTTTATTTATATAATTTATATTTACTATTGCTATAATTTTTTAACAGTGATATATTAGCCCTTCAATTCTTCATGAAAAAATTAACTTAAAAATTTGAATAAATTGTTTAATGTATATAACTTTACACCAAATTTAGCAAAAAAAATTTTTATAAACTATTAATAAAATTTTTACGGGTCATAATATTTTACGATGCCCCTGTTACACAATACAGTGATGAAATACAATGTTTAAATAATGTACTATTACTTAGTCAAATTGGAACCATTAGATTGTAATTTTTGAAATGTTTATATATACCATAAAAATAAATACCCGCCCAGTCGGGCGGGTTATGATCTAGTTTTCATTAATTCCAAAGGTTGTGAATCTTCATTTGTATTTTTATTTTTTTTTAAATAATAATTTTCATTAATTCCAAAGGTTGTGAATCTTCATTTGTATTTATATTTTTTAAAGAATAACAATTTTCACTTATTCCAAAGGTTGTGAATCTTCATTTGTATTTATATTTTTTTTTAAATAACAATTTTCATTAATTTCAAAGGTTGTGAATCTTCAATAATTTGAAAGGTTGTATCTATATTTTAAATGTTGTAACAATGTGTCCATTTTAGAATTAGTTAAAAGTAATATTTTAACAATTTTTTTTTTGATAAGTTAGTTATAAAACATTGTGAAAGAGGTTTTTTTTTAATATGGTTGTGAGGTTGTAAC